GTGCAAGAACAATGCTAATTCGCTGTCTGATATTTTGGGCAGATGAGGTTGCTTTTCGCACCATTCTCTCAATATTTGTATATCTGATTCTTTTAATTCGGGGTTCTTTTTTAGTTCATCCTCAAACGATACTAATTTTATTGAAGCCATTGTTCACTTTAAATTTAAACTCCTATGAAAGTAAAATGATCTTAACATTAATAATTTTAACAAAATCAATCAATTACATTATATCATAGCAAAGCTAAAAGTATCACGTTGAACGAATAAAAAATTATTTGAGTGCTTATTAATATTGGATTGGCAAACAAGTTCATTCGGTTTTGTTACCTTAAAAGTGTATATATAATATTTTTGTTAAAAATGAATGAAATTTAAGTTGAAAAAAAAGTTTTAAAGCATGAAATTTCTATTATTTTTAGAAGATTTCTATAATTTTATAATTTATATGAATTTGATAATTTTTATATATAAAAAACTACAAGTTAAGAAAGAAGAAAATTTTTTTTCTCATTTGTGGGTATGCCAAAAAAATTTGCGAAAATTTTCGACCATCAATTTAAATTTAAAGTTTTCCCTACTTTTTTTTTTTTCGTTTTTAAAAATGTTCCTACAATTTTTTGTTCCTGGGTTATTCGTAGGTTAAGTAGAAAAGCATTCTGACTTTAATTGCTTATAAGTCCGTTAAAAATCATTATACTGCAATTAAAAAGCAGATTCTTAAAGATGATTCTTTGCTCTATCAAATAGTATATAATTGCCAATTTTTTAAAAAATAGAATATATAAAACTATTTCATTCCACTCTAAAAAACCAAATGAACTTATTTACCAATCCTTTTACAAGCTTAGAATTAATAAACTTATTTTGCATGAAATACAATTGTCAAATAATAATTATATTAAAGTATGATGATTAATAAGTTATATTATATGTATGTTGTAAACGTGCACTATATCGCGTTGTAGCATAGACTACATATGCATTTCAATGAATTCCATTTACCTTGGATATACGTGGCTACCTATGTGGAAAGATTCTGCTTGGTAACTCAGTTCGATGTCTTGAAAAGTACTGATTGAGGTCTGCATTCACATGTAATATACTTTTTAAGCTATACTGACAGCGAAGCGGCAATGTAGTGTATTGCGTGACAACTGAGTACGTTTTAATGCACGTAACATCTCATTTTTATAATGAATAGGAAAAGTACGCTGAAATTATATTTTATAGACACACTACACAGTTTTCGCAATCAGCAAAAATGAGAAATGTAATCCAACATGAATGTCTAGTATATGGATTTATTACGAGCATTTCTCGACATTACGAGTAATAAAAATTAAAAAACACATAAATAAATAAATAAAATAATCTAACGTATTCCTTTATACAAAATAAACAAATTATAAGGAAGTTGTTTATTGTTATAATCTCAATTAGTATGCCAATGTAAATATTAAAATTAATAATTTTTTGTTATATATATTCATAATTAATTGTCAAATACTTATATATTGAATATTAATAGAAATTATCTACATTTACTGAACATTAAGAAATGAATTAAAATAATAATACATGTAAAAACAGAGTTTCTGAAATACTAATTTTACACAAACAAACATTATACAAATCTACATTTAGTGATTATCTAATACTCTATTAGATACGTGACTATACGCATTTTTAAAAGCATTTGTACAAAAGAGAACTCATATTTTCTTAAATCTGTTAAACTTGTTAGAGTGACTATAAGAAAAAAGAATGCGATGTGAAAATAGTATTTATCATTGGCGTGCAGAAAATTACGTTACGCTAATAAACAGTAAGATATACTGAAAAAAAAGAGTCTAGTTATAACTATCACAAATGTTGAGTAAAATAATTTCAACCAAATGTTCAAGTAATATAACTAAACATAATTTTAAAAATATTTAGTATTACCAAACGGTATTATTAACGATGACAGTTATTAAATATTTATAAAAATAAAATTATGTTTTGTTGTATTACCTGAACATTTGGTTGAAATTATTTCACTTCACATTCAGTGGCTATAACCAGACTCTCTTTAGTATTAAGATAAACTTAAGAAAAATGCATTACATTCTCAATTCGTGATATATTTAGAAATTAGTCGGTACGACTTATAACTGCAACTAAGCGTATCTATTGTTATATATCTTTAATAAATTACAGATCGTAAAGAATAGTTTACATTGCAAATACAATATTAATTATATTTGGCAATAGATAACAATTAAGAAATATTTGTTATTATACTACACAATGTGTACGCAGTGATGTGCTTACAACTAGTATTTGTATAATACATATGACTGTTTCTTGAGAAGTTAAGCTTTTAATTGTTTATTATACGCTGTACAGTGTTACGTCCAAGCCTCAGGATTCTTTATTTCGAAGGAGTTTTCCGGGTGATAGGCCAGTCGTCAGAGACGAAAATGGCGGCGAAAAAGGAAGAAATTATTTACAGGTATTTTATTGTTTTAATCGACAGTTTGAGGTATAAAAAGACTAAATTTAAAAGTGCTACTGCATTAAGGAGGCACTTGGAAGTAATTAAGCAATAAAGTTCTTTTTGGGTTTTCGATTAAAACTCAAAAACGAAAAGAGATATCGAAAAATGCAGACAAGAGAGCTTTTTTGTTGCTGCTTTCCTACAAAATTAGTTTTTTATGAGCTTTGTACTATGAATAGAACCGAAGATACAGCGATTTGAAAATGAGTGAAATTTCTTGAAAAAACGGCAAAAATAAGTACTTTTTCAGTTATTGCCTTCTACGTCGTTTTGAGTGTATCGGAGAATAAAAAGTGACATAAGACAAATTAAAGTAGACAAATTAAAGTAGACATCTTACCGAAAAAAATGAGCTTCGATTGAACTCAATATCAATATATATAATAAATATAATTATAAAATATTTAAATGTTAAATTTATAATAATAAATTTATATTAAGGATTGCATAAACTATTAAGGGTATGCTGGAGCCGCCTGTATTGCCTGTAAAGCGTTTTTGACGTTTTTTTTTCTGTCCATTTCTTCGTAGATTTTTTTATGTATCAGGAACTCTAAGTATTCACGAAATGAAGCGATTGGGCCGCTCAGAACTATTCGATCTCGATAAGAAGTTAGCACCCCATTTTAAAAAAATTATTTAAAAACAGTTATTAAGTGGAACTCTTGTTATAAATTATATAGAACTCTTCGTCTTGACAAAAGGAAACGGGAACTCTAATCTAAAAGAACTATGGAATTTCAATGTTGAGGTGTTAACTTCACAGACGTAAACATGTGCTCTAATTGAAATATAATTAATAATGAAATAAAAAGTTTAAAAAATCTGAATTTTTTTATTTAAGAGTATTTTATTTAATTGTACTTTAAATATTTAGGATGATTTATGTTAAGTTTCATTGCGATGCACAGATCAATTCTGTAAAATAAACAAAATTTATTTATTTATTTACAAAATAACAAATTTATTTATTTATTTATAAAATAACAGTCGCAATAAAATTTTGTTTACATTATCTTAAATACTTAAAGTACTTACATAAAAAAATTGAGATTTTTTTCTTAATATTGTAAAAAATAATTTAATTTTTAATATCAAATAAATTAATAAATTATAAAAATATGTTATTAAACAAAAATATATTATTCACACAACTTTCAATGATACTTGGGGATACTCGGTGTGGGGAGGGTGGGAGATGGAGAATCTGAATACACCTCAAAAATTACATTCCGAATTTCACTGAAAATCTATAGTATACGTATTAACGTATTCACGCTTTCTTGTCCCACACACACGCACGCACACACGCACACACGCACACACGCACACACGCACGCACGCACGCACGCACGCACGCACACACACACACCGCATATACGCACTAACACGTAGTGAATTAGAACCCGCCTATGTATCCTTATTCATCATTGTTATTAAACTTACAATTAGACATAGCTTTTATAAATATGTCATTAAAATATTAAGCAATATAATAAATACTACTTAATCGTTATCCGTTGTCAGATATAATATATTTCAAGTGCAAACTGCTTTTCTACCTATAGCTATTTGCTGAGGATAGTAGTTGCAACTATCAGTCAACTGATCTTTAAATATTTTATGAACTGACAATATATTCTTTTAGGTTCGTTTTAATACTAGTTTACTGCGTAATATAATCTTCCGATACGCCATATATTTTCACATGACATTCCTGTATTTCTTGTAGTCATTCTGTTAAATTGAAATGTAATTTCTCTTTTGTAACACAAATGCTTTTAAAAATGCGGATAGTCACGTATCTAATAGCAAAGTTATTAGATAACCATTACATGTAAGTTTGTATAATTATATATTCATCTGTATGAAGCCAATATTCCAAAAATTTTTGTATTATTGTAATTTATTTTTAAATGTTGACGAGTAGATGTAGATAATTTCTATAAATATTTACAATCGACATGATTGACTATATACATATACAGCAAATAAATGTTATTATTGATATTGCTATATTGGTACAGCAAATTATTTAGATCATAACGGCAGATTTCTTTAAATTTCATTTTTATTTTATAGAAGATTATTTTTACGTTTATTTATTTATTTAAATATGTGTTTTCATTTTTATTACATTCATTTAAACATGTGTTATAATTTTTATTATATTTAAGAATTATATTTAAGAAAAATGCTCGTAATAAATTCGTATACCAGACATTTGTAGTTAAAAAAATTACATATCTTGTTTTTGATGATAGAGAAAACTATGTAGAGTTTCTATGAAAATAGAATTTCAGTGTACATGTCCCATTCATCACGAAAATGATACGTTACATTCGTTAAAAATATACTTAGCTATTACGCAATACCCTCTGTTGCTACTTCGTCATCGGTGCAGCTTAAAAAGTATATTATATATTAAAGCAAATCTCAAACAGTATTTTTCAGATAGAAGATATCGGATTAAGTTGCCAAGCGAAATCTTTCCATATAGGTATGTAGCTATATCCGAGGTAAATAGAATTTATTGAAATGAACTTCATCATCATATTAATAAACTAGTAAATTATACAAATAGCAAATAATATGCACATGTAGTCTGTGCTATATAATGTGCTATAATGTGATAACGCATAATTTGAACGTTTATAGTATATAATTAATATAATTTATTGATTATACAGGGTAGGCCATTTTAATCAATACACGCGAATATCTCGAAAAGGAAAAATTTTTTCAAAAAATGTTTCAGACAAAAGTTTTATGGTTTCAAGGGGGAAAGAAGATAGTGACCTTGTTTGACTTTAAGAGATGTCCTTAAGGTCAGGTCCATGTTAAATAAAATTTTTTAAACGGAACCCTACATTATTCTTGAGGCTTTCACGGGTGTTACCTATGTGACAATCTTGCGTTTCGCGGGTTTTCTCCGTGTTCAGATCCATTCTTGGAATTCCAAGAATGGATCTGAACACGGAGAAAACCCGCGAAACGCAAGGAACCCTACATTTTTTATTGCGTATTCTTGTAGCTTATTTCAAGAGCTTTCCAAAACGCTATAATAAGGTATTTTTTCTTAAGTATGTTTTTTTAAGTATATTTCGAGTTATGAGGTTCGAAGGTTACAGTACTGTCGGTATTTGCATTATCCAAAATATCCGACCAACGGCTAATACCTCTTTTCGAGATATTCGCGTGTATTGATTAAAATGGTCTACCAGTTATTTCAGTATAATTATTATTTGACAATTGTATTTCACGTAAAATAAGTTTATTAATATACTTACCTTGCAAAGTGTTCATAAGCACTCAAATAATTTTTTTATTACGTTCAATGAGATATCTTTAGCTTTGCTATGATTCAATTAATATAGTTGATAGATTTTGTTAAGATTATTAATGTTAAGATCTTTTCACTTTTCCATAGGAGTTTAAATTCAAAGTGAACAATGGCTTCAATAAAGCTAGTATCGTTTGAAGAAGAACTGAAGAAGAATCCCGAATTAAAAGAGTCAGATATACAAATGTTGAGAGAATGGTGTGAAAAGCAACCTCATCTGCCTAAAATATCAGATAGCGAATTAGCGTTGTTCTTGCATAGTAATTATTATCGACTTGAACCGACGAAAACTACTATCGACACCTTTTTCACAGTTAGAACTCACGTACCTGAGTTTTTCTGTAATCGAGATCCTATTAACAATAAGGAGTTTAAAAAAGCAACTGAAACGGTGTAAGTATGATATTTTCCTTTTTTTTAATTATTCATTACATGCGCGGCGTAATTGACAAATTATGTTATATGCGACAAATAGAATGCAGGAATATTTTTTTTGTAAAGAAATTTTGCGAACAAAGTATATACGTATATATATATATATACACATATATATAAAATAATCTTATTATCGACAGAACGAACATAATTTTGGAAGGAACTACTAAAGAAGGCTATAAAATTATTTATGGAAGACTCCTAGATGACGAACCATCGCATTTCGTTTACAACGATACTATGAAATTTCTGAATATGGTGTTTGATTTATGGCTCTATATGGAAGGCACTTGTGATGGTCATGTATTATTAATCGACATGAAAAACGTTTCTTTGGGCCACGTCGGCCGTTTGAGTCCCATGGCCTTAAAGAAATTCCTTTACTATTTACAAGACGGGTTACCTGTTAGATTGAAGAGCTTTCATTTCATGAATGCTTCTCCGGTAATAGATCTCATTTTGAATATGATGAGACCTTTCATGAAAAAGCAGCTGATGGACATGGTAAGATTGAAATCATTATACACACATATTAATTGCAAGTCAATTGTCCAACAATACGTTTATTAAAAAAATGAAAAATCAAATTCCTATTTAATTAATTGTTTTAGAAATACTGCATTCCTTTTAAGATACAACTTTAATATTATATAATAAGAATCTTATTTTATACCATACCATGTGAGAAACACAATTAATAAATTAAACAGCCTATACCGGTCGAAGCTAAATCTTTAATGCTTAAAATAATTCAATGTGAATTATACATATACTATATATGTACTATTTATGTTCTACACTTAAATTTTCTTATTTCTTTTTTTAAACTAAATATTGTATGTATTTTATCTTCATATATGTATATGTGTGTGTATATATATACATATGTATATCTAATATGTATACAGAATGTTCTATTTTAAATAATGTATTAAGATTTCTCGAAAACTATGGTAGATATGGAAAAATGTTTCAAATACAAAAGTTTTATGGTTCAGAGGGGGACATAAGAAGGTACTATTGATTTAACTTTGGCGTCATTAAAGTCAGGTCACGGTCACATCGATTTTTTTAAATGGAACACCATATTTTTGATTCCAGAATCTAATAGCTGATGTCAAGAACTTTTCAAAAAACTATAATAAAGTTATTTTTCATTAAGTATTTTTCGAGTTATAAGATTTAAAAGTTACAGTACCAGTCGGCATTAGCATTACTCAAAGTGTCCGATCGATGATTATAACCTCTTGAATGTTGTTCAGGATCATGTCCTGGATAACATTTGTCAAGTTATTGGAGGTTGGACGCCACCCAAAGTCAAATCAATGGTACCTTCTTATGTCCTCCTCCGAACCATACAACTTTTGTTTGAAACATTTTTCCGCATCTATCATAGTTTTCGAGAAATCTTAATGCATTATTTAAAATGGGACACCCTGTATATACATATACAGGGTGTCCCATTTTAACATCCCACCTAAAATAACTTTTTTATTTTTGATCTTAGAAAAAAATGTTTCGGACAAAAGTTGTATGGCTTTGAGTGGGACATAAGATAGTATCATTAGTTTGACTTTGAATAGTTGCTTGAAGGTCACGTGAAAGTAACCCAATTTCTTAAATGAAAACCTTTATTTTTCATTGCATATTCTTATAGCTTACTTCGAGATCTTTCCACTATAATAAAATATTGCTTCATCAAGTACTTTTTTAATTACGATGCTCGAAGGTTACAATACCTCCGGCATTATCCAAGGTGTCCGACCGACAGCTAAAACCTCTTAAATGTTGTTTAAGATCATGAACGAGATAACATTTGTTAAGATCAAGGCCATTGCAGGTTGTTTTTTTTATTTTCATTTTTACACTAAAAATTTATTTTAACGTAAAAATGAAAATAAGATGTACTTACAACTTCCAATGGCCTTGATTTTGATAAATGTTAACATTTTTTTCTAAGATCAAAAATGAAAAAGTTATTTGGGGTGGGACATTAAAATGGGACTCCCTGTACCATATATACATATATAATATATATTTCAATTATTCATCTTTTTGAAAAAATTACAAAAAGAAGAATGTAATTTGGTGCAAAAATTATTGAATTTCTATAATTTTTTAGTTTCATATGCATACTACGAGTGATACTTTGGAGAAATTTGTACCTCTCGAAGTTCTTCCAAACGAAGCAGGCGGTCAAGCTGGACCTATACAAGACTTACATAATAATCAAGTGAAAAAACTGATAGATCACATTGCCTGGTTCCAAGAAGATGAAGCTAATCATCGCGTTAATGAATCGCTACGACCGGGCAAGGCAAAGACGGCAACGGATTTATTTGGCGTTGAAGGAAGCTTTAAGAAGCTCGAAATTGATTGATGGAATGATCATATTTTGCAACACAGATACGCGATGATATTATTGATCTTATATTTAGAACACTATAACACAGTTTTCGAAAATGAAAACATTAATCTATCTGACGTTTATTATTACACAGAAAGGACAGTTTTGTTAACAAGGGAAGTTTCACAACTGTCCGGAATCGATTTGATTCTCCATGTAATATGTTATTAAATACGAAAATCTAAGAGACACGTATTTTGTTATACCTGCCCTAAATCATGTTTAAGAGGTGAAACACTCCTTTGAAAAAAAAACGGTATTTTTCTTTCGAGGCGAATATCGTTGGAAGTATAAAAGATAGAAAAAAATTTTTTAAACAAAAGTTGTACGGTTTCAAGAGTACTTCAATGTTGTGAAGAACAAAAAATTAATGTTAACAAAAAAAAATTTTTTTTCTTCACAATATTGAAGTAGTCTTGAAACCGTACAACTATTATTTAAAAAATTTTTTTAAGTGTGAAATTTCCCCTGTAAGTACATAAAAATTTAGCTAGATACAGATATAAAAATAATTTTATTAAATTATCAAAATAATTATATAGAATGCTCAAGATGATTGTTAGAATATCATTTTTTACAACATTGCTCATTACTAGGACAACCAAAATGTATAGGGCATGTTTCTTTTTGTTTAACTAATAAAGAAATAAACTAAATACAAATTTGTTTCATAAAAAATTATGCATTTTGAACCCTATATATTACAGCATATTTTGCATATTTCACACATAAGAGCATATTTTTGCCAAGTTTCACTTTCATTTGAAACATTTTTTTATATCATTAAAAATAAATGATATTCGAAATATTCAAAATGATCGATTTAAATGGACCACCCTGTATATATAAAATATGTATAATTTGCATACTTGTGTATAGAATTTTGTTATTTAAAATAATTATCTTGCTTATTTATTTAAGTATACCTATGTATAAATATGGATTACGTAGAAACTGTTTTGTTGTGAAGAAACCTTTACAATACCTCCTTTTCGACAGTTTCTTATAATACTTTCACCACCAAGCTATCCTCGCAGTAAACGGCATTACGCGCGTGTGAATATATCGACGAAACAATCCAATCAACTTTTCGGTTTCATAATGAAACACATAATCGTAAGTATGCATAGATTTATAAATAATTAATAATATTTTTTCAGACAAATATCTGTATCAAATTAGATATAATTTGATACAGATAAAGCATAAATAATTTTGTAATAGATTCATATATGTTATGTAAACAAAGTTTACATAAGTTTGTATTTTATATAATTGAATATAACTTTGTAATAGTTTTATAAATAAGAAATTATTCAGGATAAAGAAAGAAAATATAAAATCTCATAGAGAAAAATATCATAGAACGATTAACTTTAATTAAAAAGTTCTTCAGAAAACACGTAGTAGTTTGTGACGAAACAAACCAGTTACTTACGCAATTCATTTATTCGGAATTTTGATGCGCAGAAGTTGCTGCATTCTTTGTAATATAATAAAGAGTTTAAAATTTATGATTTTTTGTAAATTTCTTATAATAATATAAATAAATCATCAAAGTTTCCAAGACCTTATTATCTATTTAATAACTGAAGAAATTAACCCTAGAACACAAACATAAATCTTCCAGATCCAATCAAAATTTCTTGCTCCATAGACGAAAAAAAAAAGAAGACTATTTTATAACTTAATATAAAACTTTTTGGCATTACAATTTATGCAGATATTTCTCAGTGCTTTAAAGTAAAAATAAGAGTCTAAAAATATTAATTTGAACCGAAGTCACAACCTATCAAAATTACAATGGGTCTTCCAGACCTATGATATGTGTTTTCAGAATTTCTCAGAAGGTGTGTGTTCTAGGATAAATGTAGAATTCAAAATAAATAAAAATTTAAATACTAATTTCCTTATTTTCAAAATAAAATCTCATTTCTTATAGATTAATCTCAAATTAATTGCATTTCAAAAAATTTAAACTATTAAGACCGAATTAAATCATTTAACAAATTATTATTATTCTATATTAAATTGTAGTTAACAATCGCTTTCATTAACATTTGCTTGGCGGATGTTTCGTATGTTTCGGAGAATTCGACGACACCATTACCACCTCCAAAGCCGTATAGTTTCCAATATGAAGCAGAACGACATCCAGGATATATCGATCGTGTTCATCAAGAAACCGGTGACGAACATGGAATTATTCACGGTAATCATAAAAATTACAACTGTTATTCGTCTTTAGAACGTGAAGGATATAAATTGGTATTATATATCGCTCTAAACTTTGCTATTTAACATTTATTATCTTGGAATTTTAGTTATTTAGTATATTCTACTCGCATACCAACGTACTCATTATATTTCTTCGATTACGAACTCGTCTGCATTGAGTTACACAGAAATTAATAAAACAATTTTACACACGCACATCCTGTGCCGCCTTATATTGGCTTTACTAGTATACTTGATAAAACAGAAAATAAAATTTATCAAATTTAAATGTACTTTACATAAATTGAAATGAGTATAAAATAATAATCATTGAATCATTCTCGGGTTTTATTTCTTCCTTCTTTTCAATTATAAAAAATAAACTACATGATCATATCTAAAGAATTAATTCTAATTTGAACAGTTTAACGTTAAATAATGTATAACAAAAAATATTTGATAATGCAGTAATTAAAAGAAATAATGCTATTCAGCAGTCATGACATCTTAACAATCTATGTATATACATATTATATATTTCAGGAAGATATTCGTACATCGATCCAAAGCACAAAGTACGAACGGTGGAATATACGGCCGATAAAAATGGATTTCATCCTGCCTTAATCAATTTTGAAGATGCTTTTACTCAACCTGCCGATTCAGAAGCCGTAAGATTGGCCAAGGAAAAACATTTTCGTCTTTATCACAGGATTGCAGAAGCAAACGCTCATAACATCTCAGTCAATTTGCCGCGAGTAATTGTCTTATATATTTGTTGATATAGAACAGTAAAACTGATGATTTAATTTTCAAGTTAAGCTAATTTCAAATAATTTTTGAATTGTTGTTTTTATAGTTTTTATTTTAATAAGAATATTTTTGAAAAAGATACGAATATCTCGATAAAAAATAATATTTTGATTCTGTTAAATTATTCGTGAATAATTTGTCTTTCATTGTTTTGCTTAATATTGTTTTCTGCAGGATTCAGCAAGCGTGGCAAAAGCGAAGAACAGGCACAATGAATTGTATCACAGAATCGCGGAACAACATGCGGCGATAGCCGCACAAAGGGAAGCTGAACGACGGACTTATGAGGCAACTTCCGTGGCCAATGACGTAAATGATCATTCGACATATTAATAATGTTTTATGCACGTATTAACAAATTACTGCGTGTTGTGTATGCTTAAAAAGAAATTAGATTTTGCTCGAGACGTGCATTAATGCTTGTTAAATTATTTTATCTCTTTCTCATCATGATTTTTTTTTATCAAATTAATTAAATGATATAGAAAATGTGTCGGCTACAAATAAAAATGTGTCGATTACAAGTAAAATAATTGTTAATTATAATATAATCAATCCAATTAATAAGATACGTTTAATCACAGGATTTATAAGACAAGCTGTCAAATATAAATTAATTAAATTAATATATTAATTGTATGTAAGATAGAAGCTGAATAAAATTAATTAGAATCTGCATGAAACAAACACTTACGAAAATAATAGACGGAAATTTAATGGTAATCATGAAATTTAACGCAAATAATGGATTAAAAATTTTCATCTTTATCTTTTAATTCATAATAAAGTTTATTTTTTAATGTTTGTATTTTCTATGTTTTTGAGAAAATACCTACAACATTATTATATAAATATGCTTTCAGATAATTATATTTTACTAGTAACGAATATCTAATATAGAAATGAACGTTTATAAATGGTATTTAACATTTATAATAATATGAATGAAGATGTATAAATATATATATATATATAAACTTTACAGCAGTATAAAATTGTGTGTTACATTCTATTGTGCAGTATATTCTGTTATTTTATGAAACCCAACAAACAACAAAGAAAAATAACGATTAGACGTTGTTTTTTCTTTTGGTACTAGTTTTTTCGCGTGTAATGATTTGTTTACATGATTGTACATTACATACATGTGTGAATGGCTGATACGGTCAACTTTGAAACTAGTTATTATTTGCGGAAGTGCCGGAAACGTTATTGCGCAAACAAAAAATATTTTTGATGAAAGATATATTATCGATGAAAGATACATCATAATCATACTGCGATCATATAAAAGGAACGTCAGCGTGAACGATATTAGTTCGAACAAATATTCCAGTGAAAGATGAAGTTTTTCGGCAAATTACTCTGTTTCTTTCTCATAGGCATCGTGGTAAGAATTATGATTTTAAAGGCATATAAACGAACAAAATACGACTATACATTCTTTTTATATAAAAATAATTTTTATTATTCAGTATCATAATAAAATGTCAAGCAATATTAACTTCTTGTGTGTGTGTGTGTGTGTTGGATACGTCATTTTTAAGTATCTGTGTGTTTACTTAAAAATGAAAAAATATATTATTAAATATAAGTATTACACACACACGCACACATACACGAAACTCTTGCTACATACGTATGTACACTTTTCTAGGCGACGATGGGCATGAACATAAAAAAACCTGTTCTTGGGATGCAGGAAGTAGCTTGTGGAAGAAACCAATCTTCCATTACTGGTTCCGGATAGATGACAATCACACAATACTGGTGTGAAAACTGGAAACAATCAATACAGTTTTATTGCTAAAATATTATTGATTAACTTCACATTTCAAAATACACACATGAGAAAGTTATAAAATAGTCAAAAAAATCTTTGGAGATTCAGAAAGCACACTCCAAAAGAGCTTGGGAATCTCTAGATTTGTCTATTCGATTTATTATACATGCGCCAATTCTTATAAGATTTCTGAACTTTTCTTCTTACGAGAAGCAAGTCCAGTTCGTGACGGGGCCATATACGAAAGTGACAGATCTTGCTCGGTTTCTGCTGCCAATCTGCCGTCAGATTACGTCAGCACCCAGTAAGTAAGAAACCTCTTGAAACATTTCAATAACATTGCAGGAATGTTACGTTGTTGCAACGTTGCTAAAATGTTTCAAGAAGTTTCTTGCTTACTGAATAGGCTCTGTTCGGTTTCTGCTCGCAATCTGCTGTCAGGTTATGCAGACTGTTCGGTTTCTGTCACCAATTTGTTGGCATAGCATGTCAGCTGGCTTTATCATATTTTTGACAGCAGTTCGCTGACATTGTCTGATAGTACAAACTCTGTGTACAATTTGTTGCCTTTCTGCAATAAAAAAATTGGTAGTAGGCTCTGCTCAAAATCTGTCTCCATAGAGACAGATTGCTATCAGGGTAATTTAATACCCTTATTCCAAGATGGGCGGAAACTCCCATACCTTTCAGAAGGATGCAAAGGGGTCGCCATACTAGGGGGTCATAGTAAATTCTTTCTGAAAAAAAAATCGGTAGCGATAAGGTTGAATTTTCATTTACTACTTAATTTTGATATCAATTGTTGAGAAATACGATTCCCATATCTTTTGGATTGTTACGAAGATAGCCATACCTATCTGAACACGTACAATTTTCTTAAAGTTTATTGGTTCCATAAATAAATATGCATATATGGTATATTATCAATTTCTCACTAAAATATTACCAGGGACACGAATTCCTGTAAGAATATGGGTCTTTAATAATATCTCGTCGATAGTGTGACACACAGACGACTGCCAGCAAATTGGAATTCGCATCATTGATCTAGATTCTACAAAACGTCCTTTCTGAGGAAAATTTTATTCGAAATATATAATACACACGTAACTATATTATACATATATACATATACAGGGTGGGCCATCTAACGTTTTCAATTTCATTTAGCTGTAAAAATAAAACGCATTGGTATTTAAAAAAATTTTTTTTTGTATTCAAAAGAGTGCACTTTGACATTTAAGAATGGAACACAATTTCATTTAAATGACTTCCACGACTGGCCTTACAGTAGCCCATACGATGAACCCAATTTTGAAGTACTTTTTCGATTGTATGAGCTTGAATTTCATGAATGGCAACTTCAATCTCGTGTTTCAAGGCATCAATTGTCTCTGGATGATTAGCGTAACATTTATCTTTAACGGCACCCCACAAAAAATAATCCAATGGAGTCAAGTCACAGCTTCTAGGCGGCCAATTGACATCAGCATTTCGGCTGATTATTCGATTTTCGAAAACACCGCGCAAAAGATCGATTGTAACGTTGGCTGTGTGGCTCGTAGCGCCATCCTGTTGAAACCAAATGTCATCTGTGTCATCATCTTCAATTTCGGTAAACAAAAAATTGGCTAACATAGAGCGGTAACGCTCGCCATTGACTGATGGTTGTTCACTAACACTCTGAGCAACAGTGGCAATGTTTTCAGCTGTCCGCACTGTAGGAGCACGAGAACGTGTTGTTTTATCCAACAACGATCCAGTTTCACGAACTCGCTTCACAAATTGATTCACATACTGACTTGAAGGCACGTTTTGTTTACCAAAAATTTTTTGTAATTTTCTTACAGTTTCAGTAGAAGACTCACTATTTTGGAAATATGTTTTCAATATTTCCCACTTTTGTTCAAGCGAAAAGCGACTCATTTTGTAAATGTCAAACATAAAACTAACTTTCTCTCATAACACGGATGATGTAAGTGTTGCCAAAATCAAAGTAATCGGTAGTTGAAATTGAAAACGTTAGATGGCCCACCCTGTATTATGCATATTTTCTTATATTGAGTAAAATTTTCCTCAGAGGACGTTTTGGAATGTAACCCCCTAGTGTGTACAGAGAGAAATCTGAAAATAGACAGTCTTTTTCGTGTATCAACCCTGATAAAAAAAAGTTGATAGAAAACGTTAGACAAAATCCTATCGTTTTGAATATGAAATTTGGTTCGTAAATTCACTAATGTGAATCGTGTGCATATGATAGAAACTGTATATGGCGTTGTAGGAATTTTTCAATAAGATTTTTATAGTTCCTTATCTGGAATTCTATATACAATGTGTATATTTTTGAATCGTTTATTACTGTATTGAGATCATATTGAGTTTAATATATGTAATTTTTTAATAAATTTACCTATACGTATATTTTAAATATCATACATATATATATCAATTATCATACATATGTACATATATTAAATATATTATCATGCTTATATCAACTTTGTTTTTAATAATTAAAATAATATTATTTGTTTTAGGCAACTAAACAATATTAGACTACAATACGGATGGATCTAAAAAATTATAAACAGCCTGGAAGAAAAATATATTATCTCTATAACTATCATTCTTTATTAACTATTATCTTTATTAACAAATTCTTTGTATGATGAAATTAAAAATATCTTTGATACATATATATATGTATATGAATAAACAAAATTAAGGAAATCAACATTTTGTTTCTAAATATAAATATAAAAATAAGTCTCTGTATTTTGTAGTTTTTTTAACCTTTAGAGATCTGGGCTGGCCACTATAGTGGCCAGTAACAGAAGTCTGTATAACTTGAATCACCGCAGCCCATCAAATATTTAACTATTATTTCATTAATATAACTGAGAATGTGTTTTGAAGATTTTCATACGATATAGACTTTGTCATAAATTCCAAAATTTTCACTTGATAGGTGGAAAATGATAATTAGCAAAAAATAATATAAATAAAAAAT